GCTGATAAATAACTGAAACACATAATCTTTACCATATGCAAACATATACAATTACCTGAGAAATGACTCCTTGCCCAATGTACAGGAGGAATTTGCTTCAACCATTGACATGCCTCCTTATCATACTCACTAAACTCTTTCATCAAATGTTCAAACTCAGGAATGGTGGTTGCTGATGCACACCTCCATAAATGGTCCCTGTACTCAGTTTGCCCCCACTTCTTTCTCATATTGTCATGAATATGTCTAATACAATACCTATGCTCAGCATTGGGAAACAATTGATCAACTGCAATTTGTAATCCCTACATGACTCAACATACAATAATTAGAATTAATTTCTTGGTAAAAAAACACAATCTAAATGATCAATTGATGAGTTTTAATTTACCTTTTGCCTGTCACTTATGAAAGTATAGTTTGAGTTGCTCCCAAGCTCCAAGTCATCCCCAAGGTTTTCTAAAAACCACTTCCAGCTAGCTGTGTTTTCAGACTCAACAATTGCATAGGCTAAGGGATAAATTCCATTGTTGGAATCTAGACCAACTGCTGTAAGAACCTGACCAGGGAATGGGCCTTTCATGAAGGCACCATCCAAACCTACTAATCTCTAAGACATGCTTTGAAACCTTTTTTCAGTGGACCCAAGCATACATAAATCCTTCTAAACTGCCTTGTTGGGGATGCAGGGTTGCCATTAGGACACACATCTATTTTGACTGTTGTGTCTGGGTTTGTAGCTTGAAGTTCAAGAGCATAGTCCCTCAACAACTCAAACTGTTTTGTGTAGTCCCCAGTTACATGCTTTCTTGCCATATCTTTTGCCCTAAACACCTTATCCATTGAAATACCCACCTGGTAGGTCTTTTGAAAGTGATCTTGTATGGCTCTCAAAGGAATCTTCGGATCTGCCTCAACTTGATCTATGATTTTCTTGCAGATTAAAGAAGCAGTACAAGCTCTGAGTTTTCTTGTTTGTAAGCATGTATGAGTTTGGTTTAAGGTCCTTATAAACCAATCAGATTCGGGGTTTGACCTAGATGCATGTATATACCAACCACATGTTTCTTTTTGTGTCTTTACTTCTTTGCCCTTGCTTTTTGAAGTGGTAGGTTTAGTCCCCACTTGACCTTTATTGATGACAGGTACAACTCCTCTGCACTGTGCCCTAAGCCTTTGACTGTCATTTTTTTTAAAGAATAGATTCCTTCTTGTTTCTAGTGCGTGCACATCAATTAACTCCTTTAATTCTTTTTTACTTTTAAACTTTTGCCCCACTGAGAATGACTGTATATGTACTGACCCAAAGTTGCACCTTTTTTCTTTTCCCAAATTTCTTATGAGAGCTCTTCTTTCTCTGTCTTGGTCTGATCCTTCATCCAATGATTCGAACTCCTCATTGTTGATCACTTCCATATCTTCAGGTTCATGACCATCATTAATACATGCTCCTTCAACATCACTTTCAACATTTACAAAGAAGTCTGCCATGTCCACATCAACATCTTCTATATTGTTCTCCTCATCCATTATGTCATCCACTTTATCTTCATTTTCTGATTGTTTCCCATCATGATCATCACCTTCATCCTTTTCATACTCTTCATCACTCTCTTCAGATTCAACATCCCCTTCATACTCTTCAACATACTCATCACTTCCATTTAAATTTTCCATAAGGTTGTCAAAAAGTTCATTATATTGTTCATCATCATTAATGGGTGGGGTGTTGTAGCATCCATCAATCATCTCATCCTCATTAGTGTTTTCCTTCTCTTTTAAATCATCAATATCCTCTAAATTAAGCCTCTTGCTACAAGAACCTTCCTCTCTTTTTGAATTCCCAACTCTACCCCTTCTATACTCTGGAGAGAATGCATCAGTTTTACTCCCAAAAAGAATCAAAGACATGTACTCACCAATTGGTTCATCATTGACATGGTTCATATTTCTCAATGGAGATTCTACATGAACTTCAGCCTCATATTTAGCCCCTTGATCATCATTTTCTGGTAATTCCTCAATGACAACTTTACCCTTTGCATTTGGAGACATGAAGTATGTGAGTAGATTTGTCTTCCCATGTTCTGTGTACACTTCAATCAACTTGTTATTTTGAATAAATTTAGAAAGATTGATAACATCCTGATCATTCCCTAAAGCTCTAAGACCAAATTGAAAGTCACCATTGGGTATCCTGAAATGGTAGTATATCACTGGGGATTCAACACTCAATTCAATCATCCGTGGGTCTGGGTAACCTAGGTCAAGCATTATGGCATCAAGTTCATGTACAGAAAACTCATCTATGTCCACATAATCAACATAACGCACTTCACCTCCAGTATACTTTATGTCAGGTAACTTAGTAAACTTCCCACCATGATGAAGCTTAATACTAAACCATGTGGGTGCACCCGCTACAAGTCAAAATTGTACATGATAACAAAGTCAAAATTTGGCGGATTTTAGTATAAATCAAGGGTAAATGAAAAATAGGAATGTTTAAGAAAACAGAGCAACTTACCATATAAGGATGATACGTCGACAACTTCATTTTTTGGTCTGATCTGCCACATTACGTACACCATTTCGACTTTAAAGTATGACCTTGTCTCCTTTTGCTTCGATTAGGTTCTTTCGATAACGACTTTTTTTTTTTGCAGGTTTAATGGAGCAGAAGGAAGAAGGAGGGAGGTGGGGAGTTGACGGGTGTTTGGGATTGTAAATGAGGGATAAAAGGTAGAAGGAAGTGTTGTCCCTATAAGTAAAAGGACAGAAATACCCTCACGTGCAAGGCACATGAGGGGGTTAACGGATGGAATTTAACGGTGTTAAGTATAGGGACCATTCTCACAAACAAACCAGTCCAAAAGGACCACAAAACCAAAAAACTCGTGGTTTGGACTTTTTTCCTGAAAAAATGCAAACCACAGGGACCATTTTTGCAATTTTGTCTAATAATAATATTTATTAAAATATAATACTTCAATAAAATAAAAAAGAATGTATGCAAAAAATGGTCCTTATGTTATGGTATATGACAAAATTGCGAAAATGGTCCTTGGGGGTAAAATTGTCATTTTAAAAAAGTTAACAGCCAACCAGTTAAACTTAACGGATGAGGTACCAAAACCACAATAAAACTTGTTGAAAAGGACCAAATCTGCAATTTTTCAAACGTTTGGACCATAACCACATAAAATAAGAAACCACAGGGACCATTTTTACAATTTTGTCCGGAAAATATAATTGATTCATAAACTATTTTTAAACTAAACGGTGTAGTACTATTTTCTCTGATAGTCAACTAGATCTTTTTTACCAATTTTGTAACTTTTAAAATTGGGAAGAATGAGGGCTTTTTGTTTACCGCTGGTAAAACCCACAAAAAACTCACACATATTTAACTTTTGCCACCAGTGTGCTTCCACCATCGGCACATTACCTCTGTTAAAACAAATGGAAGTGGTTGTTATTCATCACCGGTAAAGAGTACCACATAGAAATACCACTGATAAAAAATGTATTACACCGTTCAACCTTAATTCCAAATGTTTCAAACGGCTTTTGAACAATATATCGATATCAATAAGACATGACCCCATCTAATATTATTGTGTTAGAAGCCTTTTGGTCTATATTTTTTGAGTTGCTATATATTTTTCTAATTAACTCATAGTTTGAAAGGATTAGTGAAACTTTTACTGTTTATTAATTAATCTATTTCATATTTTAATAAATTGTTTTTTTTTTCAAAAAGAAGAACATACAAATCCATGATTAATGTGCAAAGAATAATCAAATGATGGAATTTGATGAAATAAAAATAAAATTTAGAGTTTGTTAAACGTATTATATAATTGATCATATTTTGAATGTTATTATAAAATTATTATAATCTATTAATTAGATATGTTGCCCATGTTCCGTATGAATCGTGTGTGTTTGATTTGAGTGTCTTTTTTGTTAAAACATGCATGTAAGATAATTAAAACCCTATTTTTCACAGACGGAGACAGATAGATAGAGGCAGAAAAAACAAAAAAAATAAAATAAATATGCGGTCCAATATATAAAAAATATACTAAAAGAAGAAAATGACAGACGACAGAAAGTGCAAAGGGATAGGAAAAAACAAAAAATACATAAATATAAGGACAAACCCGGACTTTGTCCCGGATCATTTTTTGTGTTTTTTTATCAAAAAATATAAAAGTTTAAAATGTAATGATCAAAAGTGTCAGAATGACTAAAGAATTAAAGGGGTTGAAATTACCAAGTTTTTAGAAAAGTGACCAAAGTTGTCAATTATTTAAAGTTTTGTGGCCACACTTTGAATATTAAAAGATTACTAAAAAAATGTAAAAATTTTGATTCTAATGACCATAAATGTCAAAATGACTAAAGAATAAAGGGTAAAATTGACAAAAAAAAACATGTATATTCACTATTCCTAACTTTGGACTTTTTAATATATATATATATATATATATATATATATATATATATATAATATATATATATATATATTATATATATATATATATATATATGTAACGACCCGTTCCCGGTATGTTAATTCATTAGTAATTGTTTTAAAGATTTGCAAGAGGGACTCGGCGAGTTCATAGCCTGACTCGCCGAGTAGGGTCGCGACTTCGAGCACGTGTTAGCTGGTGACTCGGCGAGTCCATATCCCGGACTCGGCGAGTCCATATCCCGGACTCGGCGAGTCCATCCGTCTGGGTGAAACCCTAAATCCCCGGGTTGCCCACTATTTAAGTCACCTTATAGCCCCCATTCTCGCCTCCTTCACCCTCTAAAGCTGTGAGAAAACCCTAGTTCATCCTTGAGAGTTTGTAAGTGATTTTGTGTGATTTTGTGAAGGCTTGAAGAAGGAGAAGAAGAAAGGAGCAAGGAGAAGAGGTGGAGTGCCAAGATCCAAGGGCAAATCTGAGTTATTTGAGGTATTTTCGGATTTCCCCTCTTGTTTTATGCTTTAAACCTCCATTAGAACTCTTCTAAGATCTAGTTGATGCTTGTTCCAAGCCTTATGATTGCATGAATGCCCTAACAAGCCGAGATATCCTTAGATCTATTCATTGAGAGGTCCCATAGTCCAGATCTGTTGCCTTTATGAGGATACTTTGCATATTAACCCTATATCTATCCCTTTTATGCATCTTTTAGCCTTATTTCCCTTGTTCATGTGTTGTACACGTAAAGTTGGAAACTTTACGTGGTAAACCAGCTTATTAGACTCAGATCTATCATTTGTATGTGTTGGATTCAAGCAAAATCGGGTGAAAAACAGTTGCATGGCGGCAACTCGGCGAGTCAGGAAGAACGACTCGGCGAGTTGAGTCGCGAGTCCCCGATTCCTTCATTTTTAGCAGTGTTGAGTGGAACCAGTGAGTTAGAGAGTGGACTCTGCGAGTTGAAGGTAGACTCAGTAATGGAGGGACTCGGCGAGTTGTTCATACAACTCGGCGAGTCCAAGGCAATCTTCTTAAGATCAAGAACAACTCATCGAGTACGTTCATACGGCTCGGCGAGTCGGATGAAGATTGTCTGAGTTCTTGGATCAAGAGGGTACTCGTCGAGTCGATGCCATACTCGACGAGTAGCAGCGAGTAGGACTGAAAAGTGAGAGTAGGACTCGGCGAGTTGGGAGGCCCAACTCGGCGAGTCAGTCCAAATGAGAGTGATTTTGACCAACGGTAAAAGAGTCATTTTACCCAAGCTCAGTGTTTAGTATTTGATTGAGTGTGTTTATGGACTTGTAGCCGGGGAGATACAGGAGCAGCCGCAGTTAGTTTCCAGAGCCACACACTCAGCAGCCAGTTTACGAGGTGAGTTTCCTTCCAGTAGGGACGGGTCTAAGGCCACAATGCCGGCCCGTTCAGTTAGCAGTAGTTTCCGGACTTTGATCCGATGCAGTAGCTAGTATGTTTGATGCCTTCGTGGCTCAGACAGGATTTGTGTGCTATGTTTTATGTGTTATGTATTATGTGTTCCGGGCTACGGCTCGATGTAGTATGCAGTATATGTGTTCATGCTAGTTGTTATGTTATGCTACGCTATGCTCAGTCAGTTAGTTCCGGACTTCAGTCCGATGCAGGGGACAAGGTCCCAGTCGGTTCCGGACTTTGGTCCGATGCAGTTAGTTCCGGACTTCGGTCAGATGCAGTCGGTTCCGGACTTTGGTCCGATGCAGTTAGTTCCGGACTTCGGTCCGATGCAGTTAGTTTCGGACTTCGGTCCGATGCAGATAGTTCCGGACTTTGGTCCGATGCAGGGGACAAGGTCCCAGTCAGTTCCGGACTTCGGTCCGATGCAGTTGCCGGGCTTCGTCCCGATGCAGTGGGCAAGGCCCAATATGTGTTTATATGTTATTGTATGGTATGTGGTAGTTTGGGGGAGCTCACTAAGCTTCGTGCTTACAGTTTCAGTTTTGGTTTCAGGTACTTCCGCAAGCAAAGGGAAGAGCTCGGGGTGACGACATCGCACACACCACAGCTTTAGCTTTTAGCCTGGGATTGATTTAGTTTGTTTTGATTTGACGTAGTATGATACAGTTTCCGCACAATGTTTTCTATTATGTTGGAATACATCACGTATGGTTTTATTATATGACACTCTGATTATGGTTTTGATTATATCGAAAAACGAAATTTTTGGGTCGTATTTTTGGGTTGTTTCAAGTTGGTATCAGAGCCCTGGTTTGAGGGATTCGGATACACTTCCGGGTGTATCTGAACTCAAACTAAGGGAAATAAAAGATTTTATTTTAAAAATAATAAAAACGTATTACAAAGAGAATTTTGAAAGCACTTAGAAAGAAAGAATAGTTTTTAACAAGATAGAGGTGTGTGCATGCGGTCAGCCGAGCTCAAGTAAGTACTCCCAAATTACCCATACAAGTTATTTGTTCAGTTTCAGTTTCAGTAGAACAGCATGCTAGTATAGGACTAAGGATCTAGGAGAATGCCTTATGTGCCTGCTTATGTGTTACAACTTTATGAGTATTGCATGCTAGTACTGAGTAGACAGCAGTAGGATAGCCTGTTTAGGTTATGCCTGATAGTATGAGCTTAGCATCCTTTGCTAGTGCAGTTTCTTGTTATGAGAATAGTTTTGCCTGAGTCTGTTTCCCTTATCGAATGCTGCTGCTTCGTGCTTGGTGGGGTTCTGAGTAATGGGAGTTAGCCATTAGGTGAACACGTCACACCACATGTGATCAGGTTTGAATAATCCCAGAGTACTGGAACTGGCCCTATTGCGCAGCTCTTGTTTGAGTCCAACCGTTATAGGGACGGGTCTTTTACTTGAAGGATTATCTGATCCTCATCACATGTGATGGTGTTTAGGTGGTGGCTAATTGGCATTATGAGGAGACCTTCAGCAGCTGAGGACCAGTCGTGTTGAGCCTGAGGTTTCCCTAGGGCAAGCCTAGGATGAGAGTAGCAGAGAATAGAAGTAGTAGAAGTGACTTGGTGGAGTCAAGGCAGTTCTTGAGGAAAGTACGGATAGATGTGGAAGGTAGTATGGGCCCGTACTACTGAAAGCAGAGGATCCGTGCTCGAATCAAGGAAGGCCAAGACAAGACCAGGAAGCTAGTAGCAGTGTCATGATCCCTTGAGATATTTTAGTGTTCTGATGTTGTTATGATATGTTTCAGAATGGTAGTTTTGCGTCCGAGACCAGCAGTCGGCAGCTCAGATGCCGGAGGGAGA